AAATGGTCAACTTAAATTTTAAAATATAGAATATTTACAGTCACAAGAAAGTGTTCATTGTTAGCTGACATAAGTAAACTACCAATGACAACGAAAAGTTTAAAATTTAATTTAACCAAATGCAGAATAGTATGCAGGCCGTTGGACCTCTCAACTAATTACAAAATGGTCAACTTAAATTTTAAAATATAGAATATTTACAGTCACAAGAAAGTGTTCATTGTTAGCTGACATAAGTAAACTACCAATGACAACGAAAAGTTTAAAATTTAATTTAACCAAATGCAGAATAGTATGCAGGCCGTTGGACCTCTCAACTAATTACAATATGGTCAACTTAAATTTTAAAATATAGAATATTTACAGTCACAAGAAAGTGTTCATTGTTAGCTGACATAAGTAAACTACCAATGACAACAAAAGTTTAAAATTTAATTTAACCAAATGCAGAATAGTATGCAGGCCGTTGGACCTCTCAACTAATTACAAAATGGTCAACTTAAATTTTAAATATAGAATATTTACAGTCACAAAAGATTGTTCATTTTAATGGGGGACTTCTTTATCCTTTGTTAGCCGAAATATCACATGATTAGAAAAATACAACACTCTGCGCAATTCAAGTACTAAAGACACGATGCACTCCATAAAGTAAAACCATCTAAGATACAAGCTAAAAAAACAACATGCAGCACATGCTATTGACTAAAACATTAAGTTAGATTGGCCAAATCTAACGAAAGGTTTTAATCAAAAGTCAGTCAGTCTACACTCAACCAGTCAGCTGTGCCAGTTGGGTGAGACTGACTACAGTCCGTTCGCTGCCGCTACTTTTATCCGCGAGCCAGTTGGGAGGGGGTCGGTTGGGAGGTTTACCCTGCTTCGCGGGTAAATTTCCCTACTGTCGGGTAATTCTACCTACTAAGTAAGGAAGTCTCCAACATCACATCATTCAGTGTTGAACCTTCAACGGAGACTGTTCACATATGCTAGCTCTGTTCTGATGTTAACTATGGATAAGCCAAGTACAATCACACAAGATAAACTAAAGAGAATAAAAGAAGATTTAAAGAAATCTACTACTACTAAAACTAGCAATTTTCGCAAGTCAATGTCACTACGTCTAAAGTTTCAGAAGCAAATTAAATTACCACTACATTGGAATGCATCAGGATCAAATTATTCTAATCAATTATCACCTGAAGCCATATGTCAAGAAATGAAGCTTCCTCAACTAGTAAGTCCAATAGAAACAGAAAAAGTAACATTTAAATATCTGTTACAAAACAAACATTATCAATTAGTAGAACAAAGACAAAATGAAAATGGTAAAACATTTATTTTCTTTTATGACAACAAGTTTTTAGAGGTTTGCTTTCCGACACGATTAAATGTGCCAAAGCCTCCTGACGTTGAAGATGGCAAACTAATTTATTTGATTCACACAAGTCAGGACACATGGAATTGGGTATAATTCACTTAAAAAAATCAGTCTTTCTAAAGACTCCATTATATAAACATATTTGAACCACAAAGTCTAATCTGTCAAACTATTTAACAAAATATAAACGATGTTTAATTTTACTTTATTTTTTACGTCACGGTCTCCAGTACCCCTAATACAACACTACTGATGTGTTTTTTTAAGACCAACAAATATTTTCTAACAGGGGGAAAATATATCTACTATTAGGAACATATTTCTGTATAAACATTTTTTAACCACAAACAGCTAACCTGCGACTATCTAACATAAGATATAAATTAAAATTGGTTTTTACAATACCTTGTGTTGTTGAGTCAATCGAGGTGTAGTATTACGATGGCATCACTGCAAAACGATAGACCCAGGACCGTACAACACTCCGCCGCTATGTCCAAACGCGAACTGTGTGGATACTATCCAAATCTGGGTACAGCTCCGCGAAGGTTGAGTAACAAGGTCGGACATGGCCGCGACCCTGACCAAACTTTCCTCCGTCCAACTAACCCAATTCCGCGGCGACCAGTGAGTCACCCATGCCACACCGCGCCGCGCCCCGCTGACCTTACTAGAATACTACACAGTACTGTTGACTATGAATTTAACTAAATCCATCATTTAATTGTATAAACTGTGTTTTACTCATTAAACAATTAAAACAGTACCCACATACGTCACAAGTGACGTACGATCAAAACCACCTGCTCTTACGTAATTTCCTCCGAATACCCTTTAAACTAATTAACTTTGTAACATCTGCTAACATCTGCCCGACAGCTGTTACGCGCGTTTCCACCAGGTCACCACTACTTATTGATGATGTTAATAATGTTGATCTTGTACACAATCTGACTAAATTATTACAGTTAATGGTTACAATTTAATTTTGTTTTCATAATCAATTTGCTGAGTATGGGAAGGCAACAGTACTGCATAAGTTACATAAGATTAACAGCCTAAAAACGTATTTTGGGAGATTTATGAGCTCAAATAGTTAAACAGTCCACACACGTTTACAATAATTTCTCCATCTAAATTATCTTATCTTATCTTACTAATATTATAAATGTGAAAGTTTGTGTGTTTGTTTGTTTGAAGTTCAAAAGTTGTAAGATTTACCAACAGGGTGCAGCACCATTTTTTTTTTTTTTTGCATTTATGTAATCAGCTAATTTTAACTAAGCAGCAACAAAAAAACTGTGATACGCAATGAGAACTGTCAAAGTAGGATTGTTAACAGTTATGTTTATGTTTTTAATGTCATGAATAATTTGTGATTTTTTGTGAGTTTTTTATAATTTATTTTTATTTATTGTTTAGGTGAAGTGGTAGAACATTATGGCTATGCTAGATGTGTAATACCATAGTATATCGTAAATTTAAAGATGCAAATTTGTATCAAACTGTGTCCTCCCCCATTGCAAACGTAAAGCTTGAGTATAACTGCAATAAGCATTTTAAACTTATATGCCAACCCCGTCCGAAGGACGGGTAGGCCTACTCTGCTAGTAATTATCTATTTACACACATATATATGTATGTATGTATTACTAAACCGTCCAAATGATTGTTGTGATACAATTAAAAATTAATTGCAGTAGAAAGACTTTCATGTTATCGTTGATCTTAATATGGTTGCAAAAATATGTAGCTATTTTATTTTTACCATACCATTGCTTATTTGTAAAATTATATATATTATAAAACTAATAACGATCGGGAACTTTTTTTATAGGAGAAAAACGCAAGCCTAAAAAACGAAAGACATATTCATTAAACGAATAGACAATGACTAAACCAATTGACTGTTAATACAAACTAGTAGACAGTTAATAGTAGTATTTTACAATAAACAAACTTACCCCATTTTGTTCAAATGTCATTTATAAATTTCGACAGAGCACAGCACAAACAGAGCACAACAGAGACCGCTGTGGTTAAATACAAGGAAATCGAAACCCATACACCAATTTACTCACTAATAAAGTACAGATTAAGCACAAAACTTTAGAAACACGCACATAACATGAACACACTTTAACCACAAATGAAAACTAATGGTAAACAACAACATGTAAACAAAAAAATTCGATGAAATAAAATAACAATTCAACGATCAGCTGTTAAATTTGTTGGCTCATGTTTCATATGATCAGATGATGCATACCGGCATATTCGTTACTGCTTAGACATTTCATTGACAAATTAAACACAGGCAGCCAAAAGTTGTCTCCAAATAAATGTGTTTCTTAAGGAAATCTATTTTTTCGCCATAAATCACAACAAAAACCAAATTTTCTATATATATTATTTTCAAATATTACATAACGTATATAACATTTTAAGAAATTATATACATGAATCTTGTTTAAGATCCCTCCTGAAGAAGTCCCCCAAGGTTTCTTCGGATGGGTTCTTCTCGTGTTTTGTATTAAAATCATGATTGATAATTGCAATTAGGGTCATTAGTTTTTTAGCAGTCTGTATGTATTGATATACATATTTATCTACATAAACTCATAACTTGTACGAGTATAATGTGACTGTGATAGAGCTATTTTATGCGCAATGTTAATAAAATAAAGACGAATAAATATCATTTCATATATAGGTCTATTTTATTGAGACTGTAATATATGGCTACTTATGTGAGTATTTGATTACTTTCCTTTTAAACGAAACGGACAGAAACATGGAAATCACAAATAAATCATATCTTATTCCCTATGTAAATAATTATGAAAAGTACTTGGAGACCAAGTCATAGCTCGGTATGTTTATTATTTAATAATCAGTGGAATTTTTATTCATCATTATGGAGTTTTAACCTGGCCATCCACAGCACATTAATTTATTTTACAATCGATGGTAAAAATCACTCGTTCATAATAACCTATAGAAATTTTTTTGACAATTTGTTTAAATCGAAACAGCTGATTGAAAATTGTTGTTTGAAACCTATATTTATAAAAATAAATATTATTTTATTAAATATTTAATTGCTATACTGTTTGCTAATAATTGCCTCAGTACATCGGGGATTAAGTTTTGGTAGGAGAAAGCCAAACCAGTATTTCTTCAGACCTATTTTTCCCTTTTGAGTAATCTCAAGTGTAATCTTTACACACTGTAGTGTTAGTCTCAAGTGATGTTTTTTTTCCTTTGCACTGTAATTTGTAATTTGCTAGTACACTGTGGATGGCTTTTTATAAACACATGTAACAAGTCTTTTAATTTTTTCTTGTTATTTTGTTCAACCAACATAGTTAATTGGCAACCCATAAGACCAATGTTAAATAATTTTTGTAGTGAAACACGAATTATTCTAAAATCACGTTTTTAGGCTAGAAATAAATGCATTTGAAGGAAATCTTCCAAGCAGTTTTCGAGACCTTTATAAATCTTGACTTTTATTTATCCTGAGAAAATTCAATCTGATCTGATCCTAGGAAAGTTATAAGTTTATTAAAAATGTTCAACACGAAATAGCTTACTTGGTAAAAACTGAACAACTTACCACTAAAATAAAGGACGAGAGCAAGTTTTATCCAAGGCAGCATCTCGCACAATCACATGATCTTGCCACCACAAACGCGCGCACAAAACTGACGATAATCGCTGACGATCCTAGCTTCCTGACCACGCCGCTAGGAGCGCCACCAACCGGCAGCAGTGTTGCCATGCGCTTCCATTCCAAACACTATACATACTGTAGTGTACATTAGCCTCACAATGTAATTAAAACTGGCATACAGATCCGTCGCATTTAAACTGCTTTCTCATTTACTACATTTCCCCGTTAATATTTCACAGCGCGATTTAATCTGCTCATTTTAATTTTATTTGTCGAATTGCAGATTGCCATATTACTCTGTTAATGACTGAGGCGATTTCAAATCATATTTTGTGAACGCTTCACATTTACATTTTAATTCTGTCTCTGGTTTAGTGAGTTTTTTGATATGATGAGTTTTCGTTCGTGGAATTTAGTGATTTATAATTTTTGTTATGTAATGAAAATATAGAACTGTGTAATTTTGTGTATATCTTCGTTCCTTTTCTCTCTCTTAAAATATAATTTTAATAATTTGGAATAGTACCTAACTTATTTGACTTGCAATACTTTAACTGAATATTTTATAATATAGCTGGTAAGCTAAGTGGTTTAGTACTCTGACAATCAACATGGTCATGTAAGAAATCTGGAAAGAAAGAGTTGGTTTGACTGACGAGCTTGATGCTGTGCAGAAGAAATTCCTAAGGTTGAATACGACAGGGGCTTCGTTGGACGGAGGTTCCACTTGCTGATCTCCAGGCTGACCTCCATCTCCTAGATCTTCAAGTCAGACGTGAAGTAGCAGATGTAGTATTTCTCGCCAAGCTGTTCAATGGCCTGTTGGACTGCCCAATGCTTCTCACTCAGGTGGACTTCCGCACTCCATCAGGGACCCGATCTCTTGATCTGTTCGGCAGGAGGCATCATTCACGTCGTTGCGACTTTCACAGCCCACTTGCAAGAATGACGAAGCTTGGGAATCGATTCTGTCACACAGTCAACTTTTTCCACGAGAGTACTTCCTCTATTCGTAGAAGAGTTCTCGACGCCCGACACACCCTTGAACATACATGAAAAGACTTAGGCGGGTTACACACCGGTATCTCCGACATGATGTCGCAGATATTTTTCGTGCCTGCGACATGCCCCTCGAAAACCAACCTATGTTATCTTATGGAGCTTTACACACCAGTGTCGCAGACATGTTGCCTCCTCGTGTCGCAGGCGCGTGTCTAGAGCGAACCAACCGTTCGGTGTTTGGACAGACATGTCTCTTGTCTCTTGGGCCCGCGCATGCGCAAAACACGTTTCTAGTAGTTTTGGCGCTTTTTTACTTACTTAATTGCCTTATGGTGTGAAATTTAGGATTAATTATAATACTTCAATTGACACCATAAGGAAATTACGTAAGTACTGTAATACAATTAATTACAATGTATTTTGGAAAAATTACCATGAAGTTATCTTTAATGTTTTTGTAGAAAGAACAACAGCAACAACACGTCCTCTTCTTCTGACGATGACATTATTTAAAACTTATGAATGTTGTGATTCCTTAATTTTCATGTCGCCAGCACGTGCCTTTTCCCATGGTTGTATTTTATTATACGTCGCACACATCATGCCCGCGACATCAGAAATATCGGCGACATTATATCTGCGATACCGGTGTGTAACCCGCCCTATTGTTGCTGTCGTTGTTGATGTCATTTGTTTGTTATTTGTTATATTTATTTCTACTATTTATTTATTTAAATATTTTCATGTGTGTTATTACTTTGTTATTACTACTTTGTTATTACTAGTTATTTATTTGCTTGTCATGTTATGTATTTGTTAGCACTCAGTATTTATAAATTTTTGGAATATGTGAATAGTACCTAGCCATCTTTCTTGTATTTGTTATGTTATGTATAATGGTTTTGCCGTTGGAATGAAATAAAATAAAATAAAAATAAAAAGAGCTTCCAAACCACAATCTTAGACTGGCTGGTTGAAAATCCTTTATTCAAATTTAATGTTTTTTACACAGTTGTTAGCTAAGTAAGTTTTCCAATTAACCGTTTGTTTCCTGATTTTGCATAGTGCATGCAATTTTGAGTGAAATGCATGGTTTGCTTGTTTTATTTTGTACGGTTTGTTTTTGTCAACTTTAGCTTGGTTTGATTATTCAACACTATTTATTTCATGCTTGTACACTGCTTGACATTAGCCTGTAACAATGTATTTTTTATCAGGCAAAAAAAAACATTTGTCATTTTGTCATTGGTTTTTGTATGGTTTGAAATTCGGCCCAACTCGGTCGTAAGTTTATTTGACATCTTACAAAAAACCACTGTTGTTTCTGAGGTTTCCCTGAGAAAGAGCATGTATAAAAACATTTAGTAGCATCATTTTTTAATTTTCTATGGTACCAGCACCAGTTCTTAGAGGGATTGGGCATATGTTTCCTGATCTACCACGAGACCGCGAACGACCTCTAGGTCTCTCCTGTGTATCTCATGTTCTGATTTATAAATACTTGAACTTGTTAATAGACGAGGGATTCTATTGTGTTTTGTTCAAGTAAAGGCCTAGGCCAAGATTTTGACTTGAAGAAGAGTAGGTAGGTAATAGAATAGATAGAAGATACATTGTCCAATGTATCTTCTACCTACACTTCTTCAAATTCAAATTGTTGCATAGGTTAGTAATATACCTATAAGAAAGATACATATAAATGTAGATGTACAAATCTTGAAAAGAACCAGTATAAACCATAAAGCCACTGGGGCAGAGCCCGAAAGAACTTTTGAGATAAGAATAATGTCTATATGTTAATCCGGAATGTGAGCTATTATATCATACCAAATTTCAACCCAATCCGAACAATAGCTATGTGTGATTGAGCAAGCCCCCACTAGAAAAACAGGCCATGCTGCAGGATCCATGACATCACATTAGTAGATAGATTCATTGATAGATTCACTGCCTTTTTGCCATATACCATATGTTTTAGGTAAATAAACTGGCTGTTTGTCAGATTTTAATGGTAAGCTATTTTGTAATGAAACCAAAGGACAAGACAAAAACATTATATTTTTTTATTATTTAAAATCGAAACAATAAAAAATATAAACAAATAAAATGTTGAAGTAATGGAAAGAAACATAACTTAAAACTCTCTTGAAAATGCTGATACATATTAAATGATAATCTATAATGAATTCAATCTCTAGTAAAGGAGGATGTGTTTGTTATAAACATTGACAAAATATTTTCTATAGAATCCAACATTCATTCGCTGACACTACAGTAATGACGCTGCGCATTAGTGAACAATCTTATCAAAAAGAACGGTTGAACAATAAGATACAAAGGGTCTCGGAATTAGCTAATTTGTACAGCCGCCAGTTTGCAGCTTTACAAACTTTTTCACAAAAGGAGTGTTCGTTTATGCCCTTTGGGTCTTTTGTAAGCCGAGCTTTGTGTCTGCCATATCGTTAAAAATAATTATGCGAGGATGATTATTTTATTGTTCTGTTGTACAGAGATACTAATTGCATGGGATGAAAGAAAAGTAATTTTCAACGTATCATTCGTGAGGGTATTTTAGAATAAGGAGATAACGGTGAAATAATGATTATTTAACTAGAAAATCTTAAACTCCCACTTACGACTACTTCATTTATGCTCCCACAGGGAAGTAAGGTACAAAGGAAACATGCAATAATACACTCCAGTGGTGTCTAGCACAAAGTCCACCACCATCCCCCTCGCCATCATGTACTACAGCGATCACGGTAGAGTAGACCCTGTACCCTGTGCGATGGGAATTTCCGCACAGTGCTTGCCCCTCGGGCTCTTCCTTGCTCGTCTTAAGTATATTTCTGGCACAACACACCAGGGCTGAAAGAGCACGGTTGTACCAGGTGGGTTTACCCTGTACCCTACTTTTTGTGATGCTCACAAAATTCATTGCAGAAGTAAAAATCACTAAGAGTCTATAATATACTTAAAAACATAAGCTATTAAATACATTATTAAGGAAATAAGTTCACAAATTCTTATCCAACAACAGCATTATTAATACATGGTGTTCTATTTTTTTGGTAGAATTTATAAATGCTGGTTGTGCCGTACTCATATGGTTTGGTGTAATTTATAAAGGTGTAAGTAGGGACGTCCCTCATCCGTTCACCAACATTAACTGTAAAGTAAGATGTTTAGTTAACTTAATCTCCATAAACCATTAAGTTACTGAAGTAAACTTAACCCTGGCTTTGCAACAGCAGAACTGTAACTTCTGAAAACTTTTTACATATTTGTCTTTCAGTTTTATTTCTGACACAGGTCTCTTTGCCAAATTTCTTTCAAAGTGGTTAGTAACTAACACAATCCTCTACATATGGATAGTTTCAAGCCTTATTATGATTCATCTAACTGTTATTTATCCACAAGAAACATTACAGGGAACACAAAAACACCCAGGTATTAAAAAACATCTTTATTGCACTTAATAACTTAATATTAAAATGTTTCTCATAAATATAATTTAAATAAGAAAACTATTCTCTAATACTGTTTCCTCTCTAATCGGGGTGGTTTTTGGAAGGAGGTATCCACATTGGCGTGATTGTAGTGGGTTGAACTGTTCGTTTGTGGACATTGGTGTCCGTGTACAGCCGAGCCACATGGTACAGGCAAGCGAGGAAGAGTACAGTCACCTCCATGATGACAAAATGAGACACCGACGTTCCTATCTCTAACCAGCTGCCCTGGTTGGTCACCAGGTACAGGAAATGAAGCCCCATGAGATCGCAGTAGATGAGGACTATGACCAGCATTTTCTCTGCTTTCACCTACACAGTTCAGGTTATTATAATTTGATTTTCTATATTGAAATGAGTCTTTGGTCATTTTTTTAACTACACCAAAATGTCCAAAATATTGTTTTGTTTTCTTTTAAGAGGTTGGAGGCCGATTTACACTTTACTTTTACTTTCTCACGTAGACATAGTAGAGAAAGTATTGTTTTGGTCAAAATTTTTGAGTTTGAGATTTGGGTGGAAATATCTGTTTTGGGCCCCCTGAAACCAAAAAAATTGGTGTCTGTGAGTGTGTGGAGGTGTACAGAGCTACAAACTACGCATGTGGTCTGATTTTGATGAAATGTTGTATCTAAGTACTAATCCATTGGTATCTTCAGGTTTTTTTTCATTTTTAATAAAGATTTTCCTGTAAAATAAAGGAAAAATTGATTTCTCACGATAACAGCTCAAACAATTTTGATTAAAATTTAGTATGTTATGGTTCATTTAACTCTAAACAAAACAATCCCCGAATCTGTAAAAATTGCGGTTTAAAAATTGTTGCAATGGTTGTGATTTTTCTATAAAATATTATAGTTACTTTCATTGTATATAAGAGGTTAAGTTACCTTGATTCTGTCCAAGTAATCCTTAAGTCGTCATTAATGCGACCGGTTTCGATGTCTATGGCATCATTGTCAAGCTGAACGTAAAAATCGCTCCTAGGAGGTCATCATGAGTCATGAAACACACGTAACACGTAACACATAACACGTACACAAACAAAAAACGATAAAATGCATGGCCACACAATTAATTTACAACACGGCGGCGGGTACAGGGTGTAGGTTAACTCATTAGAACTAGACTCTACTTGTCTACTGTCTTCTAACTAGACTCATTAGAAGAAAACCAAATAAATTTGACTTGTGAAGGAGGGATGACAGTAGTAGTTAATATATTAATAACATATGGTAATTGTTCTACATATGTTTTGTGTTATTGTTTTATATTTTGATTGAGTTTTTGTTAAATTATAAATAAACAACCTTTCTTGAGTTCAGTACAATTATTTAATAATTAATCTAATGTAGTCTAGACCTACACCCTGTACCCGCCGCCGTGTTGTAAATTAGTTGTGTGGCCATGCATTTTATAGTTTTTTGTTTGTGTACGTGTTATGTGTTACGTGTGTTTCAAGACTCATGACGACCTCCTAGGAGCGATTTTTACGTTCAGCTCGACAATGATGCCATAGACATCGAAACCGGTCGCACTAATGACGACTTAAGGATTACTTGGACAGAATCAAGGTAACTTAACCTCTTATATACAACTCATGAAGTAATCCGGAAGGCAATACACAAGATTACTTTCATTGTTTACCCAAGATATAGGTTGTTGACAAGCTAATGGGGAGAAATTGTGTCAGATTGTTGATATTGTTTATTTTACCTTGCATTTGCTTGTCCTCATAGGCCTCGGCCTGTACTTACAAATATGAAGCTAAGCAATGGTTGAGTTTGTAAAGCACAAGAGTCAGTGGCGGCACCAGGGAGGAAACTCGCAACGCTGTTATGGAGTATTCATTCATGCAGCTGACACAGCCACCATCTCATAAAAAATATGTTGAACTAGGTAAAATAAATACTTAACTATTTGTACATACTTCAAAATAGTTGTGCAGGTTGTTTAATATTCCCATAAATAAAAAACATTGACTGTTCTTCACTTTTTCAGAGAGTATTTGTCGTAAAGAATTCACCGTATCATCAAGTATTTTGTATATTTCAACACAGCATCCCAGAGCTAAAAGTGCACGGTCGTCCCATAAGTGTGTTTCCTCTGTACCTTACTTCTCTGTGGTTTTAAAAGCATTATCATACAAATCTATTGTAATTCAATATGTTATAATCTCGTTTCTTCACTTTTAATCTATCTATGCAAATAAACCAAGAATGAAAAGTTAGGAGTGTTACTTAATTAGAAATGTTAATTTTTTACCTCTGAAAATATGTTCACAGCTCTAAAACTACAGGTGACTAGAAGGAATGGTATCACAGTCTTGAGTAAAATCAGCGTCATCATCGTAAACGGAGAAAAGACAGTGAGGAAACATCGGACCCACGACACGTCAAATGAGTTGACAGACGCAATGTTGCCGGTTCCGAAGAAGGAGAGGATTATAAACATCAGCTGTAAAATATCTGTCAAGGATCCATTATAAACAACAAGAGATTATTGGAGGTTGTTTATTTTATCCATAGGTTCTAGCCCAGAATTGTTTTCTAAATTACTTCAGGCATTATCACTTAGATAACATCAATTGGTGATTGGCGGGATTTGAACCCGAGACCTCGGCGACCGAAGTCTGACGCTCTACCACTAGACCAGCTCGCTCCCCAGATTGTTTGTAGTTGGTATCTTGGACTTGGTATGTATGATATCAGCTTAATACTTACATAACAAATACATTACTACTAGTAGTTTAAATGCCAATTGCATTAAATATGTTTGTCAGCAAATTATTCTGATGGGAAACAGCTGTTACATTAGCCTTAGACTGCTCAACCATTGAATGTGTAGTAGTTCTAAGCTTTCCTCCTAGATTGTGGCTCATGTTAAGTACAATTTTCACAAGTTTTCTTTTAGTTAAGCTAACACGAGTAGTGGTTTATACATGTCACCCTTGACATGGTTTGTTGGGACTACAGCATAAACCCAGCCATGAACCAATTTAAGCCACATATTATTTTTTCGAGACACCTAAGAAAAGTGATGTCAAAAAGATAAAGTGTTTACTTAATGTTGTGTCAATCTTTTTCATATTTTAAATAATTGAGCAGATGATGTAAAACATCCAAATAAGCATTTGCTTGTAGAAATCAGATCCTAGTTGACATTTTGCTTCCCATAGGTAATAGGTCTAGTAGAGTACTTTATCTTTGACTCTTTCACCACTGCCTACTGATTTAAAATTAAAAGGATACAAAGAAAAAGCATTTCCTAAAATCATCCGTTGATAAGAGGCCACTTGTCCTTGATATGTCTTCAAATCTGATTTTTGATATCTGGAAAATAAAATAAAAGTATTACATTCAGATTAAGTTATAATTTAATTTGTATAGTTGAATAACTCAACAGTTCAAACTATGTGGGATACAATGTGCAAACTGCGGCACTAAACCCCAAAACGTAAACATAAATCAACATCAAAATGTTTTATGAAAATATTTGTCAATACCAAATTAGCTAAAAATATTAGGAGCAATCAAAACTTGACAAAGCCTTAATTAGGTCTCAACCAGAGGAAACTATATTTTATTCAGGGAAGAATTAAAAAGTAATAGGATAATAGCCATATACAGCTCTCTTTTTTATTATTGAATCTCCGCCCCATGTAAGATTAGGTTAGGTCAAGATATGGTTTTTGACTATAAGAAACATATCGGCTGCAGACAATTATTGTCAGATGACTGAAGTTTATGGTTTCAATGCCAATAGTAGAGTGCAGAAGTAAGTTAGGGCGTTTAAAAATGGCAGTGAAAATGTCTATTTCAGATGGTACATAATAATCCTATTTCAGACAGAAGTGTGTTTTTGGTGGGTACCCAGTCATGTCACAGAAGACCAAGAAGGAAAAGGGTGTTCATGGCCATTTGCACACTTTTTAATCCATTTTCCTACTTAACCCTCACTCTTTGCGTTAAAGCTACAACCTTCAACCATCTAGTGATGAATGATCATCTAGTGTCGGCAACAGACGCATCTTGTGGTCGAAAAACGTATCACTGACCTTACCATGGTATGGGCGGGAGATTCAATAATTTAAACAATTTTTTTTAACACAAAGCAAAGCTTACACGTCAGATTCAGAGCATATGGAGCCATTTTGTGCACCAAAGATGCCAATAAGGGGCGAGGATCCTCTTTGGGACCTACTTGTGAACCAAAGAGCTATTATGCCATTAACAGCCCTTACTTTCAAAAAAACTACCCTCGTATTTACAATTTTTATCAATTACAAATTGACAAATACAGTAGGGCCTACAAAATAATCAACAACCACTGAATAATCTTCCAAGATAAGGCAGCAAAACTAACTTTTATAAAGTAAATCTTGAACAAAATAATGACAGTGTAAAAAAGTTAACTTGTAGCCACTTTGTTTTTTAGGGTTAAAATACCTTAACTTGCGACAGATTTGCTTCCACAAGAAGCCAGATACAGAGGCTGACGAAGAGAGAGAGGAAGAAGAAAGCCTCATGGCCGACACACAGCAGGAGGTAGGGTACAGCCAGACCTAGTCCTATGCTGAGGAACCTGACGGGTACTTCAGCACTGGTCAGCATCGGCATCATTACACTGACAACTGAAACAGAATCAGCAATCTATATAAGCCCAAGAACTATCCCTGGCATGCGATTCTCTCATAGCTTCCTACCCTTGTGATTTAAACATAAAAGTTAACTGGAGATAATGTCAGCTATAAACATTTAGGTGGCCTTAACCATCAATCTGAGGCAAATAAAGACAAAATTAATACTGCATAGTGCCCAAATTTGTAACCATTTGCTTCAACTATATACCATGTATGTTTTCCCCTTGGTAATTTGAATACATACCAATCTCATCTCCTTGTCTAGTTTGGGTGCAACAAATGCAGACTTCAACAACATACAGACAACAACAGATAGTCTTCCAATGAAATTTTTTGAACACATTTTTTATTACTAATCTAGAAAACAGAGGTTTATATTTATAATTTTATTGCAGGACAGGATTTTTATTGCCTATCCTTCCTGATTTTTGGGATGGGTATGGCAATGGATGTTTTAATCCGCGCAAGAGGGAATCTTATTCCTTGTTTAAAATCTTCAGTAAAACTTATTAAAAATGGCAATAATGAAAAAAAAATAATTTTGAGCCTTTATTGTCCTGTAAAAACCAACAATGGGTAATAAAGTACAGGTAACAAAAAATGTCATATTGCATTCAGTTTAACAATAGAATACAAGCCTTATCATAAAAACATTGCAAGCTTATCACAAACAAGTATTCAGGTTGACTATCTCAAAATGTTTACACACTTTAAGACCGAGTATGGGTCAACTGTCTAGTAAAGCCAGTACTAGCCACAGTGAAGTAAGATATAGAAGATACAAGTTTATGGGGACAACCGAGTGCTTTTAGCTCTGGTATGGCGGGGTGCAAATGTACTTGTACCGAGTAAGGAAGATCCTGAACGGCGATGGCCACATAGCATCTTTGTACAGCAGTTGTAGCGCACAGCGTCTTAATATAGCATGACGCTGTAGTACGTTTGGGGAGGGGGAAGGAAAGTGGAAAGGGAAAACAAATAGAATTTGCTCTATACACCGGTAACTAGTCCTAGACACCACTTAAGTGTACCATTAACCAAAGTGTATCCTCTATATCTTACTTCTCTGTGTACTAACTTGAAGCAGTATAAGCATATTATCTATCACAATGTCATCATGACTATCTCCTAAAAAATCACCCACCTAAGCCACAAAATCGTGATCTCCCACCTATAATTTGTTATCGTGAACATCTCCCAGGTTCGCAACACCATTGTGAAAATTTGACGCATTTGCGACCCATCGTTAACATCTACTACGTTCGTGACCCCATTGTGAACCTCTCCTAAGGTTGCAAACCCATTATGAACAGCTCCCTTGTTTGCAACCCCATAGTGAACATCTCCTACATTTTCAACCCCATTGTGAACATTTATGTTCACGACCCAATCGTAAACATCTCCTATGTTTGCAATCCCATCATGAACATCTACCCCACACACTCACCCAGTAAGCTCCACGCTGCCAGTTGGTTGACAGGTTGTAGACCCAGGCCAGTCTCAAAGTGTTGATCAGTAGAGTAGATTACCACTGTGGTTACACAGACCATCACAACTTGTACCATCATTGGCCAACTCAGCCTGCGAGCTCCCAGTAGGTAGATACTGGCTGACCCAAACAACACCCACAGACCAGCACAGCCCACCCTATAACATCAAATAGTGAAGGAGTATTAAATAGTGCTTGTGAATAGTACAATAGTACAGTACAACCTTTCTTAACCAACCCACGCAAAATTGTGATGTGCAAGGAAAGGACTTGAATGTGTAATGGTCAGTGACACGGGCAACAATGAAATCAATGTAAAATACAGTAGAATTAAATTAAATCTTGTAATAACTTTTTAACTATAATTTATAGGGTTTGAAAAAAAAATGCTGTCCCAGCTTTCTAGGATAGTCCTAGCCCAGAACCATTTACACATTACTTTTGCCTCAAGGACCATAGAAAGCCAATGGTAATTTGATTTAAATCCAGGACCTCGAGGTATGAACCAAAAACTGGAACCAGGTGAAAAGTCACCACTAAAAATGGAGCGAGTGAACAGGCGTGCCATCACCAAGACAACTCGAGATGGTCGGTATTATTTAGTTACATGCATGTGCACACTAAAATTTTCCGGGGGATGTGCCACAAGGAGACGAGGCAGCAATGTAGTGGAAGAAGCGCCGGGGTCGACATTGCTCTGTTTCGAATGAGTATTAAATGAGTAGATAAAGATATAGGGCTTGGGGAAGGGTGTAGACTAGGGTGATGAGCATTCATTTAGTAATTGGTTAATGTACAATCGTTAGGCTACCAAGTCGGTCGGGGTCCAATTCTTAACATTCCATATTCAAATTCACGCTAGCTACTTGAAGTCATAATTAAGTAATACTACTAGTTCAAATGTAGTATAATCTCTTTTCTCTATTTATTAATTAAATGTAATTAAACATAAATTCTGGTTGTGATATGCAGTTAAGGTGTTATTAGGTGGTATAGAATATATTGGGCCCAGGAATCCTAATAAACATCCGTCCTACTGCATTTTGCCACACGGGTGTCCTTGATCATTGGGCTTTTCTACATGTTCCTGGCTAAGGAAACAATTCTTAGTCAGTAACAACACAATCATCTCCATTCAACATTCATCCTTTACCTTCTTCTTAAAATAAGCACAGTAATGTGTCGGCATATACTGTAAATATAATCTAGACTCTACTAACACTAGTATAGGTTGTGTCTGCTGTCCGACCACTGGAAGCGCTGGGAAGACAGCCAATGTGAGGCAAGACAAGAGCCAATAGACCTCAACATTGTGAGTCAACAGCGTTCGTCTTTCTGCCAAGAAGAAAGGCCAGAGCCCCACAACAGCGACGACCAGAGACAGCACCCAGCGATGGAAGAATGTCAACACCTGGAAGAGAAATTTTTAATTTAGTGACAATAAATGCATGCAATTGATTACTCAAATGGATTCTCTAAAATTTTTTTAAGTGAGACTACAAAACAATTTGAGTACAATAGAAATTAATAATTAACCAAAGTTATTGGGACCGAGACTACTTCTTGATACATACAACTGCTAGTGAAAACCGTTTTACACATTACTTTACTTTAGGATAGTCCTAAAGGGATGCAGCATTATCATATGGATAAAGTCCATTAGTGATTAGCGGTATTTGATTCCAGGACCTCGGGCACCGAAGCCACCTCATTAAAACCAAGGCGGCACTAGAAAAAAGGCCATGCTGCAGGATTCATGACATCAGACTTGTGGATAGATTCACTGCCATATCCCATATGTTTTAGGTAAATAAGCTGGCTGTTTACGTTTGGCAACTTTAGTACAACTATCCACTACTGTAACGTAGTGTTGCGCTGCCCGCGCTGCAGCATGGCCTTTTTTCTAGTGGGGCCTTGCTCAGACCAATTTACTGAATGGTTATTTTTTCCAACAAAGTTATTCAATTTAAATTATAGCTCATTTACTGGAAATTCCTTTATCGCTGAACTTACCTAACAAACAATTTTAGTTAGACTTATTCACTACACTTCGATGCTGCGTTCGAGTTTTTGAATCAGCACAATATGTGGCAGCTTAAATTCAATTTACTTATTTGAATTCCAGATTCGATTCATATTGTAAAGTACGATTAATGCTCCTTGATTCCAAATGAGCTTACCAATAGTTCAAGAAGAACTACATAGATGGCAGAAGAGCAGATAACTTGTGACACGCTGTATTTTGTAAACAACTGTACTGTCTTGACTTGACGAAGTACACTCCACCACAGAAGCAGTGGCAGGCAGCAGTACAGGTGAAACTGTACAGGGAGTGACTGTACTGCACAACACATCAGCTGATATGTATCACATCAATGACCAGCTGTTTTATAAACAACAGTTTGTTCTAAATCTGTTTATACATAAAAGTTTTCCTCCTACTTTGACATACTATGTTGAATTATAAAAAAATCATCTGACAAACCGGAACCTTGTGCTCCAAAGAAGCATCCTCAAATTGAGGGAGTACTTTGTCCAACATTTACTTAGCGAAAACATAAATTACTCGAAAAATTCAAACTCATCACAGACATATTTTATGATATTTTAGTAACTTTTTGTAAAGTAAAAACCCATCTTTCACCTAGTAAAACTAATGACTCCTTCAATAAAAGTTAGCATATTAGATAAACTAATATATTCAATTTAGTAAAAATAATCTTTCGATAGCTAGGGGATTCATCGATTTTTGGATTATCTTTTATGATTAAATAACAGCAATGGTTTTGTTTGAATAACATTTTTAGATTATTTTAACCCAATTTAAGGTTGCATTTTTATTCTTAACAAGAAAAACAAATTCAACCACTTACCAAATATGAAAAACATTATGAGAACTCCAAGAAAGAGAAACGTATAATCTGGCCAAACTCTCAAATTCTGCACACTATCATTTGTTGATGAGGATTTTTTTGTTCCTGCAAAACAACGCTTTCAAATAATTGTATGAAACCTATATTGAGAAAGGTTTTAAAATAGTTTAGTTTTGTCCTCACTGCATCAGATAAGACAGAATACAGTTTGTATTTTATGGACAAAAATTAAACTATACTAAAATTAAAATCATGTTTTGACCTGTTTGGACTTTAGATGGTTCAGACCAACGTATAACTTATGCACACACAAACAATTAACATAAACAAACGATTCACAACATGTTCGTCTTGTGCCGAACATAGAGATGTTATTGCTGTTTTCTTTATTGTTTGATACAGTAGTTTACTGATTTTGTGTAAATGTGGTTTTAAAACAAACTTAACACGTTCACTGCTGAAAACCTTTATACAGGCGCTCCTAAACTGCGGCGAGGCCCGGGCGGAGCCCCGGCACGCTAGCTGAATCAGCGATCGCTATTGGCATTGAAATATCTCAGTAAGACAAATCACAAAAGAGCAGTGGTGATTGTTCTGCATTACCCCGAAAGTGGACGTAGTTCACTGATAGACCCAAAGGTAGCAGCACTGCCTGGATCAATAACCAGAGCCTTTGTAATATGGTTCGAATAGAGAAAATCCCCAAAAACGGGACAAAATCATTGCCAGACGGGATTTTACGGGAATGTTTAGTACCAACCTACACCAAAATAAAGCTCGCATTCTACGCTACAGGCTGGCAACAATTACAATGTTCCCCGGCAATGGCTGAGCTCACATTGAAGCAAAGTTGTTGGCATTGGTGAAGGACGTGATTTCCCGCCCCGCACCATTGGCACCGGTACCGCGGGGCGAGAATCCCCGCCCTTAGCACTGAACGTGTTAATGTTTGTAATTTACAAGCAAAGTCGTAAACTTATTATCTTAACAAATACAATGAATTTGCACAATTTTTCCTATTTTACCTTTGCTAGCCATTACATCAGTTATATCCCAAGTTTTGGCATTTCAGGGTATGAATGGTGACAATTTTCATGTAAATAAAAATTGAATGAAGTTAACAACTTGCCAGATGTTTTCTGCATCAGCTGACAAAATAGCCAACCGATCCATCCCAGGAACGACACAGTGACACAGCCTAGCAGCAGACTTTGGAAATACGAGTGATAATAGTCCAGCCCTGCAAGACTGAGTTGGATCAACTCTTGACTCTTCTTCAACTGAAAAAATAACGAATAAGCCTCTGGATCTCCACAGATTAAAAAGGGAAATTGTTTATTTATATTGTCAACGTTCTATAATGATCCATGTTTAGTAGTAATACTATTGGACTAATGGACCGTCAAAGGTATTTCACTATAGTTATAAAATCCATATTTAGATGTCACAGGATCAACGAGCACGTCGACAAAATACCCCCGCCTCAGCAAAACTGCAAACTATGCAAATTACCATTTACCAGGTTGGATTTTGACTAAAATATTCCCTTAAAGTTGTCCGATTTATTTCTTATTTAAATATGTGACTTCATGTTATTTCCTATTTTAATAATCCTTCATAAATTCATTACAAAGCTTTAAAAGATTCTACAACAAGAGGTTATGAATATGGAAATCAGATCAAAAGAATGCAGGCTCATTTATTAAATTGTTGTTTACGTTTTGGGGAAATTAGACAGCTTTCAACACTAGGCACAAACCACAAACCTCTTTAATAAACTTTTCCATTAATTAAATTTGACTGATGAAATAAAAATATATGAAATCAGGGTGGTCGATTATATAACTTTCTTAGTTTGGTATGCAACAGTTCGAATGGATTTCTCAGTTACTATAAAGTAGTTTCTCTTATAATTTGCTTTGTATTCAAGCACAATGTACCAGTTTTGTAGAACTTTTACTGTTGAAAATTAAAATGATAAATCACAAGTAACAATATTTTTAGGAACTGTCCATTCCCATACATTCATGCCTAAGTAATCTAACAAATTACAAAATCGTACCACTGCATCAAATTCTCCATCCCTTGTCAAAAGATCAATATCCCGTCTCAGGGAGCGTTCCCTGTCCCTGGGAAGATCAGGGAAAGGTTTGTAAAGCCAACTCATCAAGTTGGACTCCACAGTTTCTCTCTTCCGGTCGAACTGTGCAGTCAGCTGATAAGCGTTCTGTACCTTGGCGGCCGCTCTGTCGTGATCCGGAATTGACAAATAGTCAAGTGGAAGAACCCCCTGAAACACCAAAAATATTGTAGGTTTGTAATTGATCAGTCTGGACACCCTAATATTAAAATATGGATAAGAAACTACAGGTTTGCCAGAAGGAGTCAAATATAGTTAGGTTTCAAGCTTTTTACAGCTTATCCTCAGCAGCACTAATAAACTGCATTCATTTAAACTGGCTAGATAGCTGGGTGGTTTAAGTGCTCACCTAACAATCAAAAGGTCGCCGGTTCGATCCTGGGAAAGATTTGTATCTTTTTAATGGTTTGAAACTGGACCTAGCTGTCCCTGATCATTGGGCTTTAAATAAATGATCCTGACTGATGAAACAGCTGACCTTACAACAATAATATGATTCTCAATAAAATATTAGCAAGCTCTACATTACTTCACGGTGCTCGCTGTTAGATAGAAAGACATGTTCGGCGTTATTTCAATAGCTCGTTCAGACGACATTACAAAATATAATAGGGTATTCTCAGAAATGTATTACCAAGGTGATACTAGTTAGTGATGGTCAAAACCAGAAATTTTGAATCTCAAAACCGAAACCGAAACTTTAAAAAATCGAACCCCGAATCTCAAATCTCAAAACCTTAACGCGAAACTTTTTTACTTAGCTGGTTACAAAAAAATACACATAATCATAAAATGTTAAGTATGCAATCAAAACTGAAAGAGATCGACTCCTGACCGTGACATAACATAAAAACATGTGAATGTGACTGATAATCTTAAAACCCAATACAACATAATTTTTCATAAACGACAAAAAAAAAAAATAAATAAATAAACTTCTAACACCAACATGAACATGAATATTAGATTAATTAGAACATTTAGTGGTCAATATTTCTTTGTGTTTAGTAAATATTGATGTGAAACTGAATTGTACCAGTTATAGTATTTAAGATACCTTTTGAAGGTCAGAATAAAATTTACTTGTTTCATTACTGTTAATGGTGATGTTTGCTCTGTTTCTACTAGCTTGTTTGGAAACAGCATTGAAAACAATAACAATGACACAAAAAAATGTCAGCAGTTTAAAAAATAAAACTGCTAAAATCTTCAATTTCGAAACTTTTGAATCTCGAAACTTGGTAATCGAATCTCGAAACCGAAACTTTTCCTAAGTTTTGATGGTTTTGAGATTTGAGATTCGGTTTTCACACTTCACTAATACTAGTAGTATTGGTAATAGGCTAGTATTATTTATCCTATTACCATGTTGCCCACCTTTTATACAGTGATTCTACTCACCACAGAATGTACAGGGATAGGCACTCCGATGAGCACAGACATTAGGGGACAAACATCCGCCTGAGCCAAGTCCTTGCGTAGTAGATGACCCAGGCCCCATTGTGGAGGACTGACGGAGGTGGAAGTGGCGGGGGGAAGGGGGCCCGCCACCCCAGCGCCCCACACTACCAGTGGCACCTCAGTCTCCGCCTTTGACCCCGCCCCATGTGAACCTGTTAACAACACACTGTGACAAGTAGGAAATCGGTTAAGGCTCAAGCGAGTTGTACAACAACTGCACGGTGATAGTACGGTACAATAAGCTCATCAAGCTCTATTCATGTTTTTACTCATCTATGTTATAACATTTTAAAATATTAATGCATGTAATATCTGTGAGAACTACCTACCCCAGTCTGGAGAGCGAGCTGGTATAATGGTAGAACGAGGGACTTCGGTTCCTAAGGTCCCGGGTTCAAACCCCACCAAATCACCAATGGATTTGATCTTAGTGATAATTCCACAACCCTTAGGTCTAGCCTGAAGTAATGTGAAAAACGATCCCAGACTAAGAGATTAGCGTCCTAAGGAAAAAACCTACCCCAATCCGTCATTCCATGATCTGAAGTGTAGACGAAGGCTGTTTTGTTGTCATGTTCATAAAAATCACCAATTAGTTGTTCCACTCTCTTGACTCCTTCATCGACCACGTTTATGTTGTCTCTGTACTGCCTGGAAATGACAAAAACACTGTTGATTTATTTGAAATTTTTTAGAATCACATGTCATTTCTGATTAATGAGTCGTTTTCCATCACTATCAGAACTAAAAGACGGAGTTTGAATTCTCAATCTACAACATTGATTTCTGACTGGGAAAACAACAACTTAGACCGCTCGGTCACTAACCAGACTAAAAAGTTTGTTGTACAAAGTATAAAGTTTATTGTTTATTTATAGCACTCAATCAAAAGCCCAAGTGTACCAAACAGGCTCACAGTTTGCATGAGATGAGCTATAGGCTCAAGAGATAATTGCTCCTCTCTCCACCAATGTTTTGGATTAATTTTTCTCTTCCTTGCGCCCCCAACAAACCTAAAACCTCTTGCACCCCTGGACAGAAGCAAACGGGGCTCTATTTATAAAACCGCCCTGTTTTAAAATATAATAGTGAACCATGCCCTCGAGCCTGCCCCCAGACTAACGAAATGGAAGCGTGATCCATGCGCAGGCCCGAGGAGCGGCTCACAAAACTTTACTTAACAAAATGAGAACCATGGATGGAGGTTCAAGAACAACACGCCATTTGAGAGAAACGAGCTGTAATTAACCATTAAAAAAATAAACAACAACAACATTAACAACAATACATGAAGTGAATACTCTCAATTAAACTTTAAATAAATTTAGATACCACTCTGACCTACTAACTTACAGACATTAATTTAGAAAAATTCAAAATAGGCTAATTTCAGTCAAAGTAAATTTAATCAGTTTTAACCTTAAAAAAATAAAATTTGTAAAATTGCAACAATGGATACATAAAAATCTCTTCCTTTAAATAACTGGTAACAATTTAACATTTAGGGGCCCCAAGAATTGAATTTATAGTAAAAAGTAATGAAATTTAAAATATCAACAAATAGGCTAATGAATTTAAAATTTAAAAGGAATAACAATAAATAGGCTTTAAATCTTGATATAAACATCTAAAAATTAATCAACAATAAATGACACTAAATAACAACAGTAGTAACTTGCGGTAACTGTCTAGGGCATCTCAGTCACTAGGTGGAGGGGCGATGAAACTGGGCAGAGAGGGGGCATCCCAAAGTCCAAAAGATTGGCCCCAAGTAGGAAAAGCTTCTCTGCTACCAGTAGAAGGTCCATCTCCTAGGCGAGCAGCACGGGAGGGGAAAACGAGCAGAACGGAGAGGTAGGCCATAATCCCAGAGACAGCAAGGCGAAACAAACTTCCTCTCCACCAAAATAGCTCGGGTCTGCTTCATGTCCTCCTCACAGGCCCCAAAAGGCGCGCGTGGCGCACTTGAACTACTCCATAACCTCGCAGACTAAGTACAAATTAAAAAACATAATTGACTTTGCATAAAACATGTGCCAAAAGGGCGATGTAAAACGATGGAAAAATGTCTGCGAGGTTAACTAGTTGATTGTCACGCAACCTCTGAAGTGCTTGGCGGTGGGAGTAAAAAGAACAAAAACCCACAGCCTTGTTCGGGGTCGTGGAGTGACAACGAAACACTGAACTAGCCTACTATAAAAAAAACACTTGAACCATTGATCATGAGTCGTGACATTCGCCCGGTGGAAATAGTCACGGCTCAACCTCCCTCCCCAAAAGAGGACACTCCTCTCCAAAAGGGACAAACAAACAAGCCTCTCCCCCACTTCCTGAAAAGAAATTGACCTGAAAGACAACTCAGGTGTCTGTGGTGGGGAACGCCAAGGGACTTCCAAACTGAGGGGAAAACTCACCCCCAGGGTTTGCTCTGGCCAGAGCTGGAAAATTTTGTGAGGGAAATTCCTTCGCAGAACACAGGGGACAGGAGAAGTGATCAGGTTCTCTGGCCCAGTGCACTTCCCACCCAGACACAAGAGGAAAGAAAATTGCCTACGGAAGAGTTCCGCGGAAGGGCTTGAGATGAGAAATGTGCGCCCTCCGGAACACTTTTCCAGTCCGCGGATCTCCAAGCTCCGCCGAGACAGGCGTCAAAAACCTCAGGATGCGGTGGGGACCTGACCACCGATGACACAACTTTGCAGCTCTCTTGTCCACAGCCGAACTGGCTGGATGAGCTTTACAAAACACCAAATCCCCCACCTGGAAAGGGTTGTCTACTCTACCACGATTGTGCTTCCTCCGGACCAATTCCCTAGCTCTGATCAAGTTTCTCCTGGCCGCTTGCCAAGTTGCCTTGACATCAGCCGCACCAGGAGGTGGCAGAAGGTCGCCAATTCCCCACACATTCGCTAACGGGTTGTTAGGCGGATAGCCTAGAAACAGCTCGAAAGGGACCGCCTTGTGACTCTCATGGTGAGCAGTATTGAAAGCAAACTGAAGCCAAGGGAGTTCCTGATCCCAGGTGGTCTGCTTGTCAGCATGGAAAGCTATGAGAGCGGAGCGAAGATTGCGATTGAACCTTTCAGCATGAGAAGGCTGTGGATAGTAAGGGGAAGTAGTCACATGGCGGATTCCGTGCCCAAAGCACATTCTTTTGAACAGATGGGAAACAAACTGTGTTCCGTTGTCGGAGACAATGGTGGCGGGTATTCCAAAATGTTGGAAGAGGTGTGTTCGAAGTACCTGCACGGTGAGCTGTGCAGTGGCATTCCTTAAGGGAAAAAGCCAACAAAACTTGGAGAAGGCATCCACACAAACAAGCAGGAACTTATTTCCTGACTTGCTACGCGGGAGAGGCCCTACATAGTCAATGAAAACCTTCTCCAAAGGTCTTTCCGCCACCTCAGATGACAACAAACCAAACTTAGAGTTTTGAGCGGGCTTGCTCAGTGAGCACGTTTGACAAGAACGCACCCTAGCAGCAAGATCCCGATCCATACCCTTCCAGATGAACATTTCCCTAACCTTCGCAATGGTCTTGTGGATACCTAGATGCCCACCCACAGGAGAAGAATGAAAATACTCAAAGACCATAGGGATTAGAAGACTAGGCAGCACAACTTTAGGTTTACCTCGCTGCCGAGCGCGACAGCAAAGGGCACCCTGGGACAGAAAATATGGGGGGTGGGCTCCCCCATTTTGAAGCTCACCAATGATCTTTGCCAGCTCAGGATCCTTCAGCTGATGGGGAATGAAATCAGAAAAGGCGAGTGGAAACTCCAAGAGCACGGCACAACCCGGTTGCTCTTGGTCAGAAGGAGGATCGTCGGGTGAATGGTACATCCTAGATAGTGTGTCCGCAATCACATTCTGAGTGCCTCGAACGTGTTGCACTTGGAACTTAAGGGACGATATTTGGACAACCCAACGACCAATTTTCCCAAGCTGGCGTGGATGTGCGAGAAGCCACGAGAGTGCCTGGTTGTCGGTTTCCAATAAAAACTCCTTGTGCTCCAAAAAGCGTCTGAATTTATTGACTCCAAACACGACAGCCAAACACTCGAGTTCATACACAGAAGAGCTTTTCTTTTCGCAGGGACTCAAAGTGCGTGAGGCGTACGCAATTGGCTGCCTAACACCATCCACCTCTTGTGACAACACAGCCGCAATTGCGACGGAGGAAGCATCTGTTTGCAAGACAAAGTTTTGATTGAAATCCGGCATTGCCAAAACAGGGGGCTGCATGATAGCCTCCTTGAGAAGGTCAAAAGACGTCTGCTGCGCTTCACCCCAGACAAACTTGGCGCCCTTCTTCCGAAGCTCATTGAGAGGAGCCGCCAATTCAGCAACATTGGGTATGAAGCGTCGGTAAAAACCTACCATGCCGATGAACCTAGCAATACCCTTGACATCTCTGGGAGGAGGAAACTCCCTGATAGCCTGGGTTCTAGCGGGGTCGATGCAGACGCCTCTATGAGAGATAAGATGACCAAGGAACGAAATTTCCGGCTTTGCAAAACTAACCTTGTCAGGATTCACGGTAAGGCCAGCCCTATTCAATCTACTCATGACTTCTTCAAGATGAATCAGGTGATCTTCGAAGCTCTCACTGTACACCAAGAGATCGTCGAGGTAATTGAACACAAACTTGAACTTGACATCATGAAAGATGGAATCAAGGAGTCTGGTGAGAGTCTGGGCCCCCACAGCAAGACCCATCGGAACTCTTGTGAACTGATACAAATTCCACGGAACGCAGAAAGCAGTGAGAGGTCGAGACTCAGGTTTCAAAGGAATCTGATGATAGGCCTGATTCAGATCAAAAACAGAAAAATACTTGGCCTTACCGAACCAATCAAACGCAGAATGCAAATCGGGGAGAGGCACAGAGTCGATTTCAATTTGCGCATTCAATTTGCGATAGTCCAAAACCATTCGGGACTTGCCATTGGGTTTTGGGACGAGAAAAGCTGGACTAGCGTAGCTCGAACGGGAAGGTTCAATGACACCATTTTCCAGAAGTTCGTCAATGATTTTTCTGAGAGTTTCCATTTTGGGTGGAGCTAATTTGTATGGGTGAGAGCGAACGGGACGGGTATCTGTTAGACGAATCTCGTACTCTAACAGGTTAGTGACTCCAAGCTTTGGCGTCAGCACATCTGGGAAACGAGAACACAAGGTTCTGATGGCTTCAGCCTCGCAAGTAGTCAGATGCCCTAACGGATCAATTGTTGGCTTGCTGGGTATCTCAGGCTCGACTACCGCAGCACCACCACCAATTTCATCAGCAAAAGATATTAATACCCGTCTCGCAAATCGGAAAAAACACTGACCTCTGCCTAAATCCAAAATTAGGCCAGTGTGCTTGATAAAATCCGCTCCCAAAATGACAGGGAAACAAAGGTCCTTAGCCACCCAAAAACTCCAAACCCAAGAAAAATGTTCAATTTTGAACTTGAAACGGGCTTCATAGATGATGGGAAGGGGTGAATTTGACGCAGTCCAGCAGATAGGGGTTTTTCGCTCAACTTGCTTGATAAGCCCAGACGATTCAAGTTTTTCAAAAAGGGACAAGGAAATGAGGCAACGGGCTGACCCAGAATCCACTAGGGCCTTCTGCACCGTGGAACCTATGAAGATGTTGAGACGTG